AGGGAGAGACAACTGTCACTGCCACAAATCACTAAAGATGACAAGATGTTTTTCTTCGAAGTTCTACGATATTATGGCTAGTCTATTTAGTTATATTAAAGCAAAAATATCCCTGGTTAGTTTCATCGTGAAGGAAATAAGACTTTTTTTAAATATTAAAAAAATAGACTAGCAGACTGGGCCCCTTTTGAGCCCGGGCCCCTGGGAACTTGCGTAAGCCCCGGCCTCTCGGCGCCACTGCACCCATTTGAAAAACTGCGCTACCCAATTGAAAAACTACTATACCTATTTTGAAAAACTGTGCTACCCAGTTGAACAGTGGCGTAGAAAAGTATTTTTCATTGGGGGGGGGGAGATGACTGGCGTGTTAGCCAGTGTCGTAACAGGCGCGGGGGAGACTGCCCCTCCCCTGACGGTTTTTACCGGGCTGACCAAGCCGTCGTACCGGGCTGGGTAATAAGAGAAAAGAAAGAGGGGAGAGGGAGGGAAAGAGAAAGAAAAGGAAAAGAAAAGGAAAGAAAAAGAGAAGAGAAAAATAAAGACAAGAATAAGAAGGAAGATATCATAATGACCAGACTCGCAACACCCTGCAACCCCTTCTCCACTTCAAAAAACTGCCATAACTCCTTTGATCTATGCTGCCCGATGGCGTAACCACTGGGGGACAGGGGGAAAATATCTATCTTTGAAAAATCTTCCCCACCCCTTTATATTAATGCCCTTTTCATCCCCTGAAAGTGCCTAAAAACCATTTCTTGTTAACATGGGCCAATTTCCTCTAAAAATTGCACATTTTAGGGAGTTTGGATCAATTCCAACGAAATTAGAATTAAAAACACCGGGGAACAAGGGGAAAATGTCCGTCTTTTGAAAATTGTTCCCCACCCCTTGACAAATGCATCCTCTGAAAGTCCCTAAAATTCTCAAATTCTTTGCGCGCATTTCTTGTTACGGTAGGCCAATTTTCTCTATAAATTGCACATTTTATGGAGTTTTCATCAATTCCGACGAAATTAGAATTAAAAACACAGAAATATTTTGCATGTTTCGCGCGCATTTCGTAGGGCTTTTTTAGGTTTATCCTTTTAAGTTATTTAAACACATAATAGTCCCAAACTCAGGAAAGACATATTTAAGATAGATCGTTTTAACCTAAAAGAAGGGCCTCAATGATGAGGCCCATTGATGGTGAAAGAATATGTTTGTAATAAATAAAACCATGATGAAAATGCTTATATTTAGTTTTAAACACACGTGTGTGGCCTATATTATAAATAAGATAAGCCCTATGTCATATTGTTTTCTATATGGGGAGTGGGGTGGGTATGGTAAATTACTAACCGGGAAAATTAATACCCACTCTGACCCAAGATCCCTGTTACGCGCCTGGTGTTAGCGCCAATGTGTGCCCTTGTGCGGACAGGGGATGTGCCCCCCTCTGAAGCTGTAAAACTTGTTTTTGCAAAATAAATTGATGCAATTTGCTATTATAGGCCTAATCAATAAATTCCTCATCAGCCGATATAAACTTAAACATTCTTGGAATTTACATAACATTACTGATGTTGTACACACCTTTCAGTGTGAAATGTGGCTCTCTTTGCAAGCACATCTAACATCTAAGGAAAGAAGAGCTTAGATTGGTACCAGATAAAATAACTTTCAAGTCCGACAGGACTGATAAGTCCCAGCCTAGTTATCCTATTACAAAATAACACACAAGGAGCTTTGTCACTAAGTCTGTGGTCACTGGGACTCTCAAGTCCCTATTAAACCTTAAACAATAATTGCTGCCCTCTATTGTGTGGTTGCCTACTTAGTGGGACCATGTGCTTCAGGGTCAAACAACAGAGTTGACACAATTTTTTTCTTGCAAGTTTACTTTCATCTTTGACCTAGTTACATAAATAGTAAGTACATCATGATTTTTTCATTGATAGAGAAAGTATTAGAGAGTATCTTGATCATATATTTATAATGATTGATGTCAAGAATTTTATAATATGAATTATTTTAATAACGGGACCCTTGAGTTCCTTCGGGCTGTATGATGGTGGGACTGTGAAGTCCCGCCAAAACTTTGGTATACCATAGTCTTGAGGCATATTGTAATGATGTATTATTACTATAAGAGTACTGAATTTAATTTATTCATGTTATTTTTTTATGTACAGTAATAATGGAATCAGCAGAAAGCATCTTAAATGCGATTATAAATGATGTTCCTGAATGTGAGAATGGAGAAAAGACAACACCAGTGAATTCTGATTCAGAAGATAATGACGAGTATTTTGCACAAAGGGACCCTGCTCCTTGGTTACATAGGGATGACAGTGATGAAGATGAAGATCTACTTCCTCTAAGCACATTTGTTTGTCAAGATGATAGTCAAAACGGTGATGATTATGATGAAGACGACGATCAACCGCTAAGTAGCCTTCAAAAGAAGGCACGATTAGGTCATGATCGTGTACGTAACTGGATGACAAGAGAGACCGAAACAAGGGAGCCAAACTTTTTAGAAGATGCAAGTATTTGCAACAAGGATGAATTTGATGACTGCTTCTCACCAACTGATATCTTCTTGAAATTTTTTGATGAGGATATTAGGAATAATATCCTATATCAAACAAATCTCTACGCCACACAAAAAGGAACAGAACACGCTTCCAGACGATGACAGATGCAGAACTATTGGGTTTTGTTGGGATTAATTTCCTTATGGGATATCACCAGCTCCCATCCTGGAGGGATTATTGGTCATGTGATAATGATTTGAATGTTGGTGTTGTTCCACAAGCTATGTCTAGGAACAGGTTTGGGGAAATCCTATCCAATTTACATGTAAATAATAACTTAAGTGAGCCAAAGGGCAATGCAGACAAGCTGTATAAACTTAGACCTTTGATAGATAGTCTAAATGGAAAATATGCTCTGTTATACAACATGTCCAGACAGCAGAGTATAGATGAAAGCACCATATTGTTTAAGGGCTGATCATCTCTTAAGCAATATAACCCTATGAAACCAATAAAAAGAGGATACAAGCTATGGTGTAGAGCTGACAACTCTGGGTACATTCGGTCAGTTTATTGTTTACCATGGTAAACGTGCTACCCCAACAGACCAAAGTTGTCCCCTATATTATGGCCTTGGGGGGAAAGTAGTCCATGAACTAACTAGGTCACTGATTGGCAAAAATTACCAATTTTTTAAAAATAATTATTTCCCTTCTGTCCCTTTGCTGGAAAATCTCCAATGTGACAATATTCTTGCTTGTGGGACAATGAGGTCCAATCGGAAATATCTACCGGTACTTGATGAAAATTTGAATGATAGGGGGGGACCACCAGTCTAAAATAACTGGGGTAAGCGTCTATAGATGGTTGGATAAAAAACCAATACTTTTTATATCTAATTACCATGGGAGTGAAACTACAAAGTTAAACAGAAAACTTAAATATGGATCTGTAATTGAAATCGCCTGTCCAACTGTAGCATCCGAATACAACAACTTTATGGGTGGTGTTGATAAAGCCGACATGCTGAGGGCCTTATACGGAGTTGATAGAAAATCTATAAAATGGTGGCACCAAATTTTTGGGGGTTTGTTGGATATTACTTGTATTAATGCTTTGTTGTTTATCAATCGATTAATGGTAAGATTCCCTTACTTAAATTCAGACGAAGGCTGACGATGGGGCTACTGACCCTGGCAAAACCAGTTCCTGCCCAACGTGGACGACCTTCATCTGCTGCATTTGCATCACCCCCGAGAATGACGCAAAAGCGTCGCAACTCTGGACGAAGTGTGCCAGATGATGTAAGATTGCAAAATATTGGTGTACACTTCCCTGAATTTGTTAAAACCAGAGGGAGATGTGAATGCTGTTCCCTAAAGAAAATTGAATCAAGGCCCCACAGCAAATGTACAGCATGCAAAGTATTCCTTGTTTGACAGCGAACCAAAGTTTAAAATAAATCATTTTTACCTTGAGTGTACCGTACTCATGTTGTTTGTGTTTTTCTATCTTAAAAAAATAATTAACAACTGTAAGCTTTAACTTCGAGATATTAGATTTTGATTTATTTTATTTCGTGGAGCAGAGCCGTCCTTATTTTTATATACATAGAGAAAAACAGACATACAGATACTTAATAAAAGGTATCCGAACTTCTTACCATTTACCTATTTTAAATAATGATTGTGGTTTACAATCGCTTACAATAATACCTATTCATCCAACCAACCTATTAATTGAATAAAATAATGTGAATAATCAAAATCCTATTATTAACTGTAATATTTAGTTTCCTAATGCTATATTGCGAGTGAGTTGGCTGTTTGCAATTTATTACAGAACATGCAGACTTTTAAGCAAGAAAATCGACGGTCTAATACAGAAGGTCTATTTAAATAACCTGTTATATAACACCTCGTAATCAGAGAAGGATAAGGCTACGACACAGATGAAGGCCACTTAATTGCTGACCAGCTGATAGCGTCATAATTTCAACTTCGTGCTTATTGGTCAATAAGAGTGACCTACGTCGCGGATTGCAGGACGATGCATTACTGACTAGATGACAACTTCATGATGTCAACTTCGCGTTTATTGGTCAATGAGCTCTTTGACAAACACTCCCAATCACCTTGAAAGCAACAGTGCTAAATGGGTTTTTAATAGGTAACACGCACATCCGTAGAGCCGCTAATCTTTCTAAACCGCTCCTAGAGCGGTAACCTAACGTTAGTTTATCGAGGGCGGGTTGAGCTAATGCATACAATTTCTCATGAGAGCAGCCTATAGCTGTTGGCGACTGCATAGAAACCATGCTTCATCAAAAAGAAAATGTATTCTTCTGATATGGTTGGATGGGATTTAGAATCAAGTGCAAAGAAAACATCCACATTTTTATAACATTCATTAAAATTAAGTACTAAAATATCAATCAATCAATCAATCAATCAATAAATCAAATAATATCACTAAAATTACCTTTAGTTTTCTCTCATTTTCGTGCTTTCCAAGAAGTAGTGAGCCACTGTGGGTGCCCACAATAAAAACAGATGGCAAGTCCAAACCACTGTCAGTGTCTTGTTCCATTACACGTGTATCAGAATAAATAGTAATAATCCAGTACAGGATAACCTGAAGATTCGTCATATGGTATTCATGCCACTCCTACAATAAAACATTTTAAAGAATGATAATGTATGGCTGAACTGAAAATATAATAGCTGGATGTGTATAGAGTATAGTACGAAAAAGCCTCTATGCACTCGTTCAATGGTGGATCTAGAAATTCAAAATAGCGGGGGTGGTGGTGGGGGGTGGACAGGGATGGAGTGTCTAGACCACATCTACCGCTACAGGGCAACTCTAGATCACCGGGAATGGTACTCTCAGACTTAATTTGAACATAATTATCTTTTTTCTCAATTTTGTATTAATTTTGACAAATTCAGGGGGGATACACCGCTGGAGTTGTTATGAACACCAGGTGGAAACTGGTGCTGTAGAAGTTTCTAGAATTATCATTATCATACTGAATATTGTACTCAGTAACATCCCTAAAAATACATCGCAAGTGATTGGGTGGGAAATGAAACCACATGCTGCCACTTGGGATTAAATTCAACCCTAGCCAGTAAGCGCAAGCTCAATCGTCTAGTGGTTATAATACCAGTCTAGTTATCTGTAGGTTATGGCTTTGATTCCTACTTGAATCACTTAGTTTTTCCCCAAAAATTTGAGGATATACTGTACGATACCACATGAGACTGGGCAAAAACATTACAGTATTTTATTATATATTTTATTTCAATACACATCCAAGCAGCGGGTACTCTGTCAATAATAGCAATGGAATACAATGAAACATTTTTATTATTCAAAATTATGATAGAATTTGTTTGCAATTTATATGATTAAAGTAATTTACATTAAACATAAAGTAATATGTGCCAGTAAAAATCATGAAAGTATCAAGCAGCACAATTGTATATTTTGATCCTGTACTAATTTGGAAAGACCACATAAATAAATTGTCTTCAAATGTGTCTAAGCATATTGGTGTCATTCGCTATTTAAAATACCTACTAAAACCGCATACTCTTAAAATGCTTGCTAAGTCATTAGTATTACCCCTTTTTATTATTATTGCTGTGTCTGGACCACTTGTAATGTTCAGTATTCTAACTGTTTACAAGTTCAAATGAACAGATTAAGCAGAATTGTTTTGTCTGTTGATGTATATAATTTAATTTAATTTAATTTTTTTAATTTATTCGGCTTTATACTTCTGTTGATGTCATGTTAACCTGGAAAAGACTATATGTAAGGTGGAATGATCAGTTAGCTCTAAAGATTTTAAATGATTAAAAGGATATACTCCATCTTATATATCTTCTAAATTTACTTTCAATATTGATTCCCATTCTAAATGTACACATAGTCAAACTCATAATAACCTTATTGTAAAACAATAGAATAACTCTCAAGGCAAGAGAACTTTTTTGTATTGTTCAACAAAGTTGTGGAATGATCTTCCACATGACAACAACTAATTTCATGGACAAGACTATTTTATCTCTTAAAAACTCCTAATTTTTAATTACTTGTATCATGTAATA